AACATGTCTCTGTTTTACGGTTCATCACAAAATACTTCTCACTTATTGTTTATGACGTAGCGAAAGCTAATACTCTTAGGATTACAAGATGCTGTTTGGAGTTTGTGTCTTCTTGGTTGGATGCAGTTATTATTAGTGGCTTTTGATAAAAGCGTTACTTCAATGGGAGATGTTGATTGGTTGTTAGGAACACATTCACACCTTTGTATCACTTTTGTCTGGGTTTTGATTGGCTGACTATACTAACGAGGCTTTCTCACACACTCACATTGAAAGATAAATGTTGATATTTTCAGGTAAAAGGAGACAAGAATCTGCCAAACATGTGTCTTCTGTTGATTACAAAACAGTCCCTGGTGGTCTAGTGGTTAGGATTCGGTGCTCTCACCGCAGCGGCCCGGGTTCGATTCCCGGTCAGGGAACGACTCTTTAGAGTCTCTGAACATATAGCCAATACAATTGAAAACAAAAGCACTTCTCACTTACTGGTATGACTTACCGAAAGCTAAAATAAAAAAAATCCCAAATTGGCATCAACAAGCTAAATATTATCTTATAAACGTACAAATGTATTGCTGTTTCAGATTGTATCTTCTTGGTTGATTGCACTTATTGTTAGGGGCTTTAAATAGTGTTAGCATAAAAGAAAAACCAGTTCCCTGGAAATTCAATGGGGACATCTGATTGGTCGTTAGGAACTCATTCACATCTTTTTCTCACTTCTGTCTGGCTTTTGATTGGCTGACTGAACAAGTGATACTGTCTCACACAGAGAATGTCACATTGACAGAGAAATATTGGGGATATTTTAGTGGATTGGGAGATATTTTGCCATATTCACCCTGAAGGGCATTTTCTTTGTCTCAGGTCAAAGATGTGTCTTCTGTTCTTTAAAAAACAGTCCCTGGTGGTCTAGTGGTTAGGATTCGGCGCTCTCACCGCCGCGGCCCGGGTTCGATTCCCGGTCAGGGAACTCACCTTTAGCGTCTCGGAGAATGTAGCCGAATCAAAGGTTTATGTGGGACCCAGATACTCCTCAACATGACGCCTCATCAGTATACTGGCTCGGGAACCAGTATACAGGAACCCTGATGATATCAGAAGGGCAGACAGTCCCACACATCTACCTTGAAGACTGGCAACCCACCTTGAAAAATAGAATCAAACTTTTTATTTCTGTATTCAACAAACAGTTTGACTCATGTCGATCTAGAACCCCTGAGACTCTGGTGGAATAGTGTGTGGTCTAAGTTCAATTATGTTTGCTATCCTGGCTCCATAAAGGCTGGGACAAGCTCCCCATTGATATCAGGAAAGTAGAAAGTGTTCTGATACAGACTGAACCCTAACCCTAACCTGTTTCCACTGCACCTTTTCCCCTTCCTCACATAGCACTAAAAATGCAAACTTTAGCTTGGTTGATTGCATTTATTATAGGTTGTGTTGAATAAATGCATTGGCTAAATGTAACAATCAATTGGATTTTATTTTTTTTTGTCACAGCCGTTCCACCGTTTTGAGCCAGTATAAGGGGTCATGTTGAGGAGTATCTGGGTCCCACTCACATAAACCTTCGATAGGTTCGACTCTCAGAGACTCTAAAGATGAGTTCCCTGACCGGGAATCGAAGCCGGGCCGCGGCGGTGAGAGCGCCGAATCCTAACCACTAGACCACCAGGGACTGTTTTATAATCAACAGAAGACACAAGTTTGACTGAACACAAAACAGAATGCTCTTAAGATGAATCCAGCTCATATTTTGTTTCCCTTTCCCTGAAAATATCAACATTTAACTTACAATGTGACTTTGTGTGTGAGAAACCAGAAGTCCCACCCTATTTTATTATTTAGTTATTTTTATATATATTACCTAAGGGGATTGCTTTTTAACTAATGTAGCTTTTTTTACTATTTACTTATTTATTTATCAATGTATCATTTATTTATACTGTAGTATTTATCTGTATTATTTATTATTTATACATATTTTGCATAAATGCATGTTTTTTTTTTTGTTTATTATTATTATTATTATTATTACTACCATGTTATATATTTTTCTTATATTTTTCTATTATATTTTTCTATTATATTTTACATGTCACAGTTTATTCTATGTTTGCACGGTGTATTGCATGTTTCTTATTTCATTAGGTTCCAAATGAGGAGGTTATATATTTGATTATTTTTTATATATTATTAATCCCCCGTTTCCTATTTAAACATTGTTTATATTATTTCATTTATGTTTTAGCTATTACTTTCCACTTTATTTTAAATGGATGGTGTAGCCTCCTGCAGGGAAACACCCTGAAATAAGCCCCTTTAATAAAGTATTTTTAAACATCATCCAAGGCGTGTCCCATGTCTCACCTGCACCACCTCTCTAGACCTCGGCCTGGGTTTTAAACACTTTTAGGGACACTTGGTTGACTTTATTTTAAAAGTTTCCCTCCCCGTGTGCCTACTAACCCGTGTGTATTTTATATTTTACATTTTATATATTTGTTTTATATCTTACATATTTTAACATTTGTGTTGATGTGATTTTTATTACCAGCACTTATTTTTATAAGCACTTATTTTACTAAGCACTTTTATGTATTTATTTATCTTTTTTTTCACACTAATTTTACCTGCATGCCGATAATAAGCTTTTATAAACTTGTATTGGTTTTATTACAGGAGTTTTTAAATAGGTTTTTAAACAAAAAATATGTACCCGAGAGCCCGTGCACCACGCGCGTTCCCCAAAACCCTAACCCTAACCCTAACCTGTTTCCACTGCGTCTTTTCCCTTTCCTCACATAGCACTACAAATTTAAACTTCAGCTTGTCTCTTCTTGGTTGATTGCATTTATTATAGGTCGTGTTGAATAAATGCATTGGCTAAATGTAACAATCAATTACATTTGTTGTTGTTGTCACAGCCGTTCCACCGTTTTGAGCCAGTATAAGGCGTCATGTTGAGGAGTATCTGGGTCCCACTCCCATAAACCTTCGATAGGTTAGACTCTCAGAGAATCTAAAGATGAGTTCCCTGACCGGGAATCGAACCCGGGCCGCGGCGGTGAGAGCGCCGAATCCTAACCACTAGACCACCAGGGACTGATTTATAATCAACAGAAGACACAAGTTTGACTGAACACAAAACAGAATGCTCTTAAGATGAATCCAGCTCATATTTTGTTTCCCTTTCCCTGAAAATATCAACATTTAACTTACAATGTGACTTTGTGTGTGAGAAAGCCTCACTAGTATAGTCAGCCAATCAAAAGCCAGACAGAAGTGAGACAAAGGTGTGAATGTGTTTCTAACGACCAATCAACATCTCCCATTAAGGCCACGTTTACACGGAGACGAAACGGGTTGTATCCGCTACAGTTCTCTATCGTATGGAAGGGTTATTAATGCCTTTGTTACCTCGAGGTTGGACTACTGCAACGCTCTGTACGTGGGTATGGACCAGGCGTCAATTAAACTCCTGCAGCTAGTCCAGAACGCAGCTGCACGTCTACTCACTGGCCACAAAAAGCGTGACCACATCACCCCAATTCTGGCCTCACTGCACTGGCTTCCAATTCGGTTCCGAATTGATTTTAAACTCCTTTTATTTGTTTTTAAAGCACTAAATGGGCTGGCTCCGGCCTATATAGCTGAACTCCTCCAGCGCTACACCCCAGCCAGAGCTTTAAGGTCTGCTGACCAGCTGTTGCTGATAGTGCCCAAGACCAGGCTAAAAACCCGAGGGCACCGAGCCTTCGCAGCAGCTGGCCCGAGGCTCTGGAACACTCTGCCCCTCCATGTGAGGTCGGCCCAGACCCTAGGGGTTTTTAAATCTACTCTTAAGACTCACTTCTTCTCCCTGGCCTTCTAGTCAGAGCGGAGCACGACTCCTGACTTTTCCCTGTGTTTTATTTATTGTCTTTTATTGTGATTATAGAAATGTGTTTTTATGTGATTGTAGTTATTACATGTACAGCACTTTGGCCCGACCAAAAATCGCTTTTAAATGTGCTCTATAAATAAACCTTGATTTGATTTGATTTGATTTGATTCTTTCACACGAGGCCGTAACGGAATCGCGGAAACAGAGCTCTCAAACGGTAATGGGTCCCAAGGTGGGTAGATCTGCGGACGAAACTCTCTGGGGGGCCTAACGGCTCCGTGTGTACGTCCTATACGATCATTTCCTGATAACGATGAAGCCATAGCCCCGCCTCTCCCCAGCTCTGCTGCTACAGATGTTAGTGCAAAATCTACAGCTCCTCGACCACAACCATCAGCAACAAGTGGACATGGAGAACTACATGAACTACATGTTGCTAAATCCAGAAGTACAGCGCCACTTACAGGCCCGGCATATGTACTACAGCGTCTCCAGCGGGTCGAGCGGTCTCGTGTGGACGGACACGTTTCTTGAGCCGATACCGTGTGGACGGAAGACTTTTTTGATATCGAATTCGGTTCGTTCTCCGTTTTGTCTCCGTGTAAACGGAGCCTGAATGTCCAGGGAACAGTTTTGCCACTTACAATATCTGTAACCAACCAAGAAGCATCTTGTTATCCTGTAAATGTATTAGCTTTCAGTACGTCATGAACAATAATTGAAAAGTATTTTAGTTTAAAAGTTTAGTTTTTTTGTTTTTTAAAAGTCACAGCTGTATTGGTTCAGATAAAACTAGGAAGTCATAAAGCTTTGACCAAAGGGTATGAAGGGTAAGGGTAGGTGTGAGTGAGTCCCCAAAATCAAACTAACTACCTTGCTCTATGTTTTGAAGAACAGTTGTAGATTTAGATCCAAAGACAGTCAATGCAAAGTGCAAACATAATACAAATAGAAGAAGAAAAAGACTGCGAAAACTGGAGGTGAACAAAGATTTTTCAAGGCAGAAAAAGTCCCCAAAAGGTCTCTAATGTTGGCTTAAAACACAGGTGAAAAGTGTTAAGATTAAATGATTAGAGGAAGACAAAAAACCCAAAGAAGCCCCGCCCCTTACCTGTGTTGCTAGGCGATCTCTGGCTGCCACGCCGTGACCCCTCAGGCATGGTGCGGAGATATCACAGGAAGTAGAAAC